AGAGAGAGAGAGAGAGAGAGAGAGAGAGAACAAAACCGGGATTCTGGGAAAGAACAGGAGTGAAACCTACCTAGTGACCGTGAATGAGAGATGGGCGCGCGGGCGGGGCGGGTTACAGGGAAGAATTGCTCACCAAGCCCCGCCCAAGTCTGTTTCCCAGGTAACGGGGTAAACAGACTCCATCTACTCTCCTAGGCAGGAAGCAGTCTGCAGGGAGTACCGGGAGTATGTGTTCTTTTGTGAGAGTGGAGTCCCCCAAACCTTTGCAAACTTCAGCTTCTCCGTTAGAGATGAGTTCCCTGAGAAGGACGAGAGCACCTGAAATCTCGGAACTTGGACTCACCCCAGAACAAAAGGGCGATATAAGAGACAGGGTACTTAAGGGGTCAAAATCTCCCACGGAGCTGGAGTTTCAAATGAGACTAGAACAAGATCGAAGATGGAGGGAGAGGATGGTATCATCAGAAGCAAAATCGTCACCTTGCCATGCTCTTGGATTAGGACTAGAAAGACATGCTATTTCTGGCACGCCCACAGAGATGGGTAATTTAGGACTCCACAAGGGCTCTGCTTTCCAGGGATCAAAACCTCTGGGTATGTTACCAGGAAGAGTGGGACCAGAAAACAAGGGACTTCCACCTTGCCTTCGCTACGGAGAGACACTACACCCTCCTTTGGGCACAGTACATGCAAGTCCACAGGCCTCAGGGAGCACGAGGAGGCCTCTAGCCTGTGGTTCTGCCTGGACGGATGCCGTAGTGGAAAAGCAGCCTACTGTAGGCTCAGAACTAAGAAAAGAACTGGAAAAAGAGCCCACCTGTGTCGTGGTGAACCCCTACACAGAGACGCCCCCTAAGGAGGTAGACATTGGGTTGCCACAAACCGAGGAATCAGATGAAGCCAAGAATACAGAGCCTCTAATAGGTTTAGTAAGAGAATCTTCTGAATGTCCATTTGCTCAACAACTGGAAGAGAAAAAGGAGCCCGCCAGCACCGAACCGGGAGTGGAGCCTCCAGGGAACATCAGACCTATATATTCAGGGAAATTCTTTGATCGGATGCCTTGCTGGCCAAGTGTAAGTTCATGTTATTGTGTCTGTTTGTTTTTTTGTTTCTCCTAGGGTTTTCCCCTTGAATTCGTGGATAGCATTGTTTCCTGATATGATGTAGTAGTGAGATAGGTTTACGTTTGTAGAGACAAATAGCAAAGTTTTCATTGGGATTCTGTCTTAGTTAGGGCTGCTATTGGTATGCTGAAACACCATGACCAAAGGCAAGTTGGAGAGGAAACGATTTATTCAGCTTATACTTTCAAATCACAGTTCCTCATCAAAGTCAGGACAGGAACTCAAGCAGGTCAGACACTTAGAGGCTGGTGCGTTGATGTTAGGCCGTGGGCTTGCTTTTCGTGGCTTGATCAGCCTACTTTCTTATAGCACCCAAGATCATTGGCCTAGGGACTTCCCCCATAAATCACTAATTAATAAAATGCCCTACATTGCCGGGCAGTGGTGGCGCAGGCCTTTAATCCCAGCACTTGGGAGGCAGAGGCAGGCGGATTTCTGAGTTCGAGAGTTCGAGGCTAGCCTGGTCTACAGAGTGAGTTCCAGGACAGCCCGGGCTACACAGAGAAACCCTGTCTCGAAAAACCAAAAACCAAAAAAAAAAAAGAAAGAAAGAAAAGCTCTACAGGCTTGCCTACAGCTTGCTCTTAGAGCAGTATTTTCTCAGCTGAGGTTCCCTCCCCTTTAATAACTCTGTCTTGTGTCAAATTGACATAAAACGAGCCAGTATATATTATTTTTAAAGAATGTAATTATATATTAATAATGTATATAAGAATGTAATTATGTTGTTGTTGTTGTTGTTGTTTGAGACAGGGTTTCTCTGAGTAGCCCTGGCTCTCTTGGGCAACTCAGAGATTCACCTGCCTCTGCCCCTAGACCGTTAAGATTTAAGGCATGTGCCACCACTGCCTAGCACCAATACAAATTCTGACCCTTTTACTACTGGTTTCTTTGCAGAAATTCCTTAGATGCCTTCTGACTCCCTGCCTTCCTTCCTAGGTGTTAGCTTGCTGCTGTTTACACACCTGTGGTTTTTCCTGTTTTCCTTCTCTCTTTGCCTTTGACTTGTTTTCTCCCCATTCTCCATTTCTTCGACCCTCTCGCACACTGACACTATCAAGATTTCTAGCGTTCATACGGTGAGTGGGGAGAGGCCTTTCTCTTATGTCCATTATTCACTCAGTATTGTCTGTCTTTCAACAAATTCTTGTAGTCATCAATGTGGGAGTCCAGGTCAACATGAGATGGAAAGTGTATGTCCTTTGACCTGTAGGCTTAGGCTAATCCAGTGATGGAAACAAAAAACAAAATGAATATTTCACAGGCGTCAAAAGGAAGATTAACATTTTTTTCTTCCTCTGTAGAAATGCATTTTTTTTATCACTAATCTCATAGAAATACTTTACAAACAGGATAGGCAAAAAGCCTAAGGGAAGGAAGTATCAGAGCTGGGTGTGGGTGGGCAAGACAGATAGGTTATCATGAATCTCACGCTAACTTGGGCTACAAAGGTGAGACCCTGCTCAGAAATCAAAACCAACCAAACCAAAAAATAAAAGGAAGGCATCAACCTACAAATCAGCAGAAGACTGGCTGCTTAGCAAGCAATGAAGTTCTGCATTCTAGTCATCTGTCTTAGTTAGGGATTTACTGCTGTGATCAGACATCATGACCAAGGCAACTCTTATAAGGACAACATTTAATTGGGGCTGGCTTACAGGTTCAGAGGTTCAGTCTATAATTATTATTATTTGGTTTTTCTTTTTTTCTTTTGGTTTTTCGAGACAGGGTTTCTCTGTATAGCCCTGGCTGTCCTGGAACTCACTCTGTAGACCAGGCTGGCCTCAAACTCAGAAATCCACCTGCCTCTGCCTCCCAAGTGCTGGGATTAAAGGCAAAGCCTGCGCCACCACAGCCCGGCCGGTTCAGTCTCTTATTATCAAGGCGGGAGCATGGCACGTACGGTGCAGAAGTTGCTGAGAATTTTACATCTTGCTCCAAAGTCAGACAGGAGAAGACTGACTTCCAGGCAGCTGGGTTGAGTGTCTTAAAGCTCATGCCTTCAGTGACACACTTCCTTGAACAAGGCCACACCCACTCCAGTAAGGCCACATCTCCAAATAGTGCCACTCCCTGGGCCAAGCAAGTACTGCTGCTTCCATTCCGCAGTAATCTTTGGGTATAGTAAATAAGCCACAGGATAACTCAAACTGTTCCTACTTCATTTTGTTTTTTGAGACAAGGTGTTGTGTTATGGATCCCAGGCTGTCCTCACACTTGCTTCACCTCAAAGAAGAAATTGCTTTGTTGGGGGCCAGGAGTCACCCCACAAACCACACAAACACCCATCTCAGTCAGACAGGAATGGTTTATTGAACACACACCTAAGACTGATCGATCAGGGCCATAGCTCAGAATTTGGAGGCTGTGGCTACAATGCTGAAGATTTTCAGCATTTAAAGTTAAAACCAGGAGCACCACAATGAACTCCTGCACAGGTGCTGAAAGTGCTGACTGGTGGTCAGCCCTGACTCAAGCCATTTTAGACATAACAGTTTATATTAACCTTTAATTTGATGAGATCTGCGTGATGCTTACAGTTGTGGAATTTCGTAAGATTAACAAACCTCATACAGAACACAACAGGGTATGTGGTTAACATGACCCAGGACTGAGTCAAGTTATTTTTCTTCATCAATGACTGACAGGCATATTACAGCAACGATATGAAATAGCTGGCAGGCATGAAGCAAAATGGCTGCCACTATATTAGGGGGCAGACCTCAACAACTTTGTTTCTATTGAGACAGGGTCTGTCTATGTATTTCAGGCTGGCCTTGAACTCTCCATCTTCTTGAGGTAGGGTCAGAGCTAGATAAGACTACATTGTCCAGTGAAGAGATTCTTTTTGTTTGTTTTGGTTTTGGTTTTTGGTTTTTCAAGACAGGGTTTCTCTGTGTAGCCCTGGCTGTCCTGGAACTCACTCTGTAGACCAGGCTTGGCCTCGAACTCAGAAATCTGCCTGCCTCTGCCTCCCGAGTGCTGGGACTAAAGGCGTGCGCCAACACTGCCCGTTTTGTTTGTTTGTTTGTTTGTTTTTGTTTTGTTTTTGAGATTTTTTTGGTTTGTTTTAAAATTTCAAGACAAGGTTTTTCTGTGTAGCCTTGCCTATTCTGGACCAGGCTGGACTTTGAACTCAAAGATTTGCTTGCCTCTGCCTCCTGAGTTCTGGGACTAAAGGTGTGTGCTACCACCACCCAATTAAGAGAGGATTTTTGTTATGTTTAAGACAGGCTTTCGTATAGTCCAAGATGATCTTGAACTCCCAATCCTCCTGCTTCAGCCTCGAATCTCTTTTGCTTCCGTGATCCTGAGGCATTCAGAGTAGATTTCCCATGCTGAAATTCAAAGATAAAACTCTAATAAGGAGCTTATATGGATCCTGCAGAGCTTTGTCTGGGCACAGTGGACTTTTGTTCCCCTTGGTTCTACATTTGTGCTTTTGAACTGTCTTGAACCACTCTGCTTTCTGCTCTGTCAGATTACCCAGCCACTGCTTCTTCTCTGGGTGTGCCTGTTCTTATTTCTGCATTAGTTCTGTTGTTTATGGCTTCTGGTCTAGCCTTACACATATATGTATTCTGATTTTTGGCTTCTGTGCTGGCTGATCTTATGCCAACCTGACACAAGCTACAATTATCTGGAAGGAGGGGACCTCAATTAAGAAAATGCCTCCAAAAGATTCAGCTGTAAAGGCATTCTCTTAGTTAGCGATTGATAGGAGAGGGCCCAGCCCATGGCTTCTCCTTCAGCTCCGGCCTCCATGTTCCTGCCCTGTTTGAGTTCTAGTCCTGATTCCTTGGATAATGATCAGCAATGTGGAAGCATAAGTAAAAATAAACCCTTTCCTCTCCAACTTGCTTTTTTGGTCATGGTGTTTCACCGAAGCAACAAAAATCCTAACAAAGACAGCTTCCAGAGAGCATTGTTCTAAAATGTCTACTTCTGCCACCTTCTACTCTTTTCTCCACACATTTACCCTTCCTTTCTTTCTTTTTCTTTTCTTTCTTTTTTTTTTTTTTTACTTTTTAATATTTTTTTGAAGCAGAGTCTCACCTTACCACTGAAGTGAAGGCTATCCTGGAACTTGCCTGGAACTCACAGTGATGCTCCTGCTTCATTCAGTCTTCCCAGTTGTCAAGATTATAGTTATGAACTATCATGTAAGCATCTCTTTCTCTCTCTTTCTCTGTCTCTTTCTCTCTTGACCCTTCCCTCATTCTCTTCCTCTCTCTGTAGCTTATGATAATTTTGAATTGGTGAACTTTCTGCCTTAGCTTCTTTGAAGGGAGCAAAGAGAGTGTCAAGGAGACAGTGATTAGTTGGGTGATGTCTTAGGGTTTCATTAGTGTGAAGAGACACCATGACAAAGGCAACTCTTATAAAAATTTTTTTAATTGGGTCTGGCTTACAGTGTCAGAGTTTCAGTCCATTATCATCATAGTGGAAAGCTTGGCAGTGTACACAGGTGGACATAGTGCTGGAGGAGCCTTGAGTTCCACATGTTGCTCAGAAGGCAGTCAGGAGGAGACTCTCTTTTTTCACTGGGCAAAGCTTGAGCATAGGAAACCCCAAAGCCCACTCCCCTAGTGACATATTTCCTCCAACAAGGTCATGCCTACTCTAACAAGGCCACACCTATTCCAACAAGTCCACATCTAATCCAACAAGGTTATACCTACTCCAACAAGGCCATGCTTCCAAATAGTGTTATCCCTCGTGGGCCAAGCATTAAAATACATGAGTCTACAGGAGCCAAACCTATTCAAACCTCCACAGGTGGCGTGGCTTTTGCCTGGAATCCCAGGTTTCAGGAGGCTGAGACAGGAGGATTGCCACAAATTCAGGCTAGCCTGAATAGAGAATGAGAAACTGTCTCAAAAAAACAAAAGAAAGCAAAGCAATGAGTAGCTAGCAGTGTTTAAACATGGCTAATGAAGCCAACAGAGAGTCGAGGTTTGCACCCTTCTATGATTTTTCCACAAAATTTCATGCTATACACAGTTATTTCAACATTGAAAACTGGTCTTTTTTTATTTAATAAACAAACATTTCACTATAAATTCAAAGTTATTTTATTTGGTTTGGGATCAGAACCTATGAGGTTGTTTTTACTGAATTATTGCAGAGGCAAGCTTCTATACTGCTGTTTTCAGTTCATGAACTGCAGAAATATGAATTAAACTATCAGAAAAAAGATTAACCAGAAGAGTTGCACATCATTTATAGGCACAGGGGTTCACAGAAAATAAGGGAGCCTCAAAATGATTGTTAGACTCAGGGACTTATTAGCACTTCCACAAAAGGAGATGTTGAGAAGCTGGTCACAGTGGCCCATACCTGTAAATCCCAGCTACTTAGGAACCTGAGGTGAGAGGATGGTAAATTCAGACCAGATTGGACAATACAGAGATGGGAGAAGTTGGGGAGTGGGGGAGAAGAGGATAGAAGGGTATCGAGGAAGAAAGAAATAGAGAGAAAGAAAGAGGGTGGGGAGAGAGTACATTCAAGGAATGATAGATTGTAGAGACACAACTAGGAAATACTTAGGGGTAAATAATGCAAGACATGGGCTATTTTGGTAGAGAGACTGTGTGTACTTTACCTTGACATAGCCAAGGGGAGTGGTTCTTAACCTTTCTAATGCTGTGACCCCTTAATACAGTTCCTCATATTGTGGTGACCCCAACCATAAAATTATTTTCATTGCTATTTCATTACTGTAATTTTGCTGTTATGAATCATAAAGCAAATATCTGATATCTGATATGCAACCTTTGTGAAATGGTCATATGACCACCAATGGGGTTGTGACCTGCAGGCTGAGAACCATTGGCCTAGAGTCACCGTAGAAGGGAGTCTCAGATGAGAAATTGCCCACATTAGATTGACCTGTAGTTCCCATAGACATGTCTGTAGAGGGATTGTTCTTGATTGTTAACTGATGGAGAAGGGCCTAGCCCACTGTAGGCAGCACCCTTTCCCAGGCAGGTGACCCTGGGGTGCATAAGAACACTAAGCATGGGCGAGTGTGCCATCAAGCAGTGTACTTCCATGGTTTCTTCTGTTTTGTCTAGACTGTGAGTTCGTTCATCAGAGGTGGTGTAAAGTAGCAGGTAGGTCTGACTGAGTTTCTGCCCCAACTTCCCTTGATGATAGATTGTCACCTAGAAATGTAAGCCACATAAACATACTCCTCCCTTATGTTGGTTTTGTTTAGTGTTTTATCACAGAAACAGAATGAAACCAGACATGTGTTTATACAAGATCATCTGATGAACTGTCCTCAGGTGCTGAGAGTTGCTCTTGCTGGATTTGGGGACACTTTATATGGACAAGTCAAAATCCTACTTTTAAGCAGAGCAAGGATCAGGAAAGGGACTCCTACTGTGCCTGTTGATTCTTGCTCATTTCAGCGCAAAATTCTATTGTATATTTTAGGTGATTTATTTTGATTCTTAGATGTTACATTTTTTTTTTTTAAAGACAGGGTCTTATGAATCTCAGGCTAGTCTTGGACTTTCTATGTAGCTGAAGATGACTTCAATTATCTAATTCTCCTGTCTTTACCTTCCAAGTGCTGATACTGCAGGTGTGCAGCCCCATGCCTGGTTTGTGCAGTGCTGGTAGTCAAACCCATGACTTCATGCATATTTGACGGACTCTCTACTATATCTTTAAAGCCCCTGTTCTTTTTATTTGTTTTGGACAAGATTTTGCCATTGTAACTCCTGCTGGCCTTGAACTCTTGGGAATCCCTTTGTCTCAGACTCTTGAGTTTGGAACTATAGGAATGATTTATCATGCTTAGTTCCCAATTCTTTCAGTTTTTTAAAAAGAGTAATGTGCACATTATAAAAATATCAGCCACGTTGAAACAGATAAAGGAGAAAGAGATATGTGCTGTGCTTCTGGAAGTAGATTCTTACTAGCTTTGCTATGAGCAACGGAAGGACAGATAAGACCCCAAGTTACAAGTAAGTAGGCAAAGCCAAGTACTATTTGAATTGTTCTCTCTAGGAGCTGGGCTATAAGTAACATGCTAGTAAGTATAAAAATATTTTCTGGGATTCTGTGAGAGTTTGTTCAAGTCTCGAGGCTAATGCTAGGAAGTGTGATTTAGGGGCCAGCCTGGGCTACATAAGAAGATCTGTATCTTAAAAACCAAATTTGTTTGAAACACACAAAGATATATCTCATACATTTGGAAATTAAATAATTAACTAGTGAAAAACGTTAAGATTGTTTGTGGCCAAGCGTGTTAATGCTTGTGATCCCAGCACCAAAGTGGTAGAGGCAGGACTGCCATAAATTTGAGTGAAATCAAAAAATAGCAGGGGGGGGAGCCTGTTGACATTGTACACACCTGTAATCTCTGCACCAGGGAGGTGCCAGGCAAGGATTAGGAGTTCAAGGTCATCCTGTACAAAGCCAGTTTCAGACCTAAACAAACCAGAAAAAGAAACTGTTTCCAACAGGTAAGCAGTTCAAAATGTCACAGAATCACTGAATGCATTTCTGTTACTTATTTGTCTACTATCTATTCAATTGTTCCCTTATTTTTAGTAGCGTTTGTAGCATTTGAGGTATAGGCCAAGTTTGGAATACATTCCATTCTTTAACAATGCTTAATGTTTTTTCCCTCTAAGGCTGGAAAAGTTAAACCAGTTGGATACAGAGTTTCAACCTGTTTGACTGAAAAGCTTCCCAGGGTGAGCAATTCACAGCCTTTCTGTTTGTACCTTGAATATGAGCCATAGGAGAATGGACTCTCAGCTTTCCTCACGAAAGTGTGCACAGATGTAATGTGGTCAGTTTTGAACCTTTACTATACCTGTGCGATGTCTATTGATTTTGTCCAAGAAAATGAAAATTAAAATGTACATTTTTTTTTAGTTTACAAAAAAATCTAGGATTCAATGCATTTCAGTAGGAATTATGACATGTTTGTAACCTGCATGTTTTGGAGTGGGGGAATGTCTGACTATATGTCACACGTGTTCAGGTATCCATGGAGGCCAGAAAAGGGCATGGAATCTTTGGAGCTAGAGTAATAGGTGATTATGTGTGAGCCACCTGATGTGGTTACAGGGAACCCAACTCAGGGCCCCTGGAAAAGCAGCAAGTGCTCCTGAAACTACTTAGCCCTTTTCCAGTCCCCTAAATTATAGTCTTAAAAATGTTCTAAAATTAATCTTTATTTATGTGTATGAGTGCTTTGCATGTACTTATGACTGTATACCAGGTGCAAGACTGGTGCCCCTAGATGTCAGAATCGATCATCAGATCCCCTGGAACTGGAGTTACAGAGTTATGAACCAACATGTGGGTACTGGAACGGAACCTGGGTTCTCTTGCAAGAGCAAATGCTCTTATGCACTGAGCCGTCTCTTCAGCCCCTCAAACTATAATATTTAAAGTATTTTATTTCAGTCAATAAACAAATTTTCCAGGGCGTGTCCTAGTTTTTGTATTCAGGAAGCCACCACTGCCTAGGGAAGTTGAGTTGATCTTTTGAAACTTGTGCTTCGTGCTTCTCTTTTCTTGTCTCACTTTCCCCAGCTTATGACTCCCCCAGAGGCAAAGAAGTATTTCAACTTCAGATATCCTCCTGCTGGAGCAGAAAGAGTATTTTATGGCAGAGCAAAAGATCCCCAAATCGCACCTTATTTGACACATGGATTAAGATCTAAAATCGCAATTCCGGTAAACCTTTCTTTTTTCTTCCTCTATTTTTTTAAAACAATTGGATATTTTATTTATTTACATTTCAGATGTTATCCCCTTTACTCATTCTCCCTCGCTTCCAGAAACCCCTTATCCCATCCCCACTCCTGCTACTTCTATGAGGGTGTGTCCCCATCCATTCACCCACTCCCCTTTCCCTGCCCTCCCATTTCCCCACACTGGACCATCCAGCCTTCTTGGGACCAAGGACCTCCTCTTCCACCAATGCCTGACAAGGCTATCTTCCCTTACATATACACCTGGAGCCATGAGTCCCTCCGAGGCTGGTGGTTTAGACTCTGGGAGTTCTGGTTGGTTGGTATTGTCACAAGCCCCTTCAGCTCCTTCAGTCTTCTCTCTACATCCTTCATTGGGGACTCCATGATCAGTTCAATGGTTAGCTGCGAGCATCCGCCTCTGACAGAGCCTCTCAGCAGACAGGTATATCAGGCTCTTGTCAGCATGTACTTCCTGGCATCCACAACAGTGCCTGCTTTTGATGACTGCACATGGGAAGGATCCCGAGGTAGAGCAGCCTCCAGATTTCTGGAGTCTAATTTCTTGAGTTCTTTGTATATATTAGATATTAGCCCTCTATCGGATGTAGGATTGGTAAAGATCTTTTCCCAATCTGTTGGTTGCTGTTTTGTCTTATTGACAGTGTCCTTTGCCTTACAGAAGCTTTGCAATTTTATGAGGTCCCATTTGTCAATTCTTGATATTAGAGCATAAGCCATTGGTGTTTTGTTCAGGAACTTTTCCCCTGTGCCCATGTGTTCGAGGCTGTTTCCCACTTTCTCTTCTATTAGTTTCAGTGTAGCTGGTTTTATGTAGAGGTCCTTTATCCACTTGAACTAGAGCTTTGTACAAGGAGATAAGAATGGACCGACTTATATTCGTCTACATGCTGACCTCCAGTTGAACCAGCACCATTTGTTGAAAATACTGTCTTTTTTCCACTGAATGGTTTTAGCTCCTTGTCAAAGATCAAGTGACCATAGGTGTGTGGGTTTATTTCTGGGTCTTCAATTCTATTACATTGATCTTCCTACCTGTCTCTGTACCAATACCATGCAGGTTTTTTGTTTGTTTTGTTTTCTGTTTTTTTTTTAATCTCTATTGCTCTGTAGTACAGTTTGGTGTCAGGGATGATCTTTTATTGTTGAGAATAGTTTTCCCTATCCTGGGTTTTTTGTTATTCCAAATGAATTTGAGAATTGCTCTTTCTAACTCTGTGAAGAATTGAGTTGGGATTTTGATAGGGATTGCATTGAATCTGTAGATTGCTTTTGGCAAGATGGCCCTTTTTACTATATTAATTCCTCTAATCCATGAACATAAGAGATCTTCTGAGATCTTCTTCAATTTCTTTCTTCAGAGACTTGAAGTTCTTGTCATACAGATCTTTCACTTGCTTGGTTAGATTCATACCAAGGTATTTTATATTATTTGTGACTATTGTGAAGGGTGTCATTTCCCTAATTTCTTTCTCAGCCTGTTTATCCTTTGAGTAGAGGAAGGGTAGTGATTTGTTTGAGTTAATTTTATATCCAGCCACTTTTCTATATCCAGTTGTTTATCAGGTTTAGGAGTTCTCTGGTGGAAGTTTTGGGGTCACTTAAGTATACTATCAAATCATCTGCAAATAGTGAAATTTTGACTTCTTCCTTTCCTATTTTTATCCCGTTGACCTCCTTTTGTTGTCTAATTGTTCTGGGTCTAATTTCAAGTACTATATTTAATAGGTAGGGAGAGAGTGGGCAGCCTTGTCTAGTCCCTGATTTTACTGGGATTGCTTCAAGTTTCTCTCCATTTAATTTGATGTTGGCTACTGGCTTGCTGTATATTGCTTTTATGATGCTTAGTTATGGGCTTTGAATTCCTGATCTTTCCAAGACTTTTACCATGAAGAGGTGTTGAATTGTTTCAAATACTTTCTCAGCATCTAGTGAGATGATCATGTGTTTTTTTTTTCTTTCAGTGTGTTTATATAGTGGATTATGTTTTTGGATTTCCATTTACTGAACCATTCCTGCATTTCTGGGATAAAGCCTACTTGATCATGATGGATGATTGTTTATTGAGAATTTTATTGAGTATTTTTGCATCAATTTTCATAAGGGAGATTGGTCTGAAGTTCTCTTTGTTGGGTCTTTGTGTGGTTTAGGTATGAGTGTAATTGTGGCTTCATAGAATGAATTGAGTAGTGTTCCTTCTATTTCTATTTGTGGAATAGCTTATAGAGAATTGGTATTAGGTCTTCTTGGAAGGTCTGATAGAATTCTGCACTAAACTCATCTGGTCCTGGACTTTTTTTGGTGGGGAGGCTTTTAATGACTGCTGCTATTTCTTTAGGGGTTATGGGACTGTTTAGGTGGTTTATATGACCTTGATTTAACTTTGGTACCTGGTATCTGTCTAGAAAATTGTCCATTTCATCCAGATTTTCCAGTTTTGTTGAGTATAGTCTTTTGTAGGAAGATCTGATGATTTTTTGAATGTCTTCACTTTCTGTTGTTATGTCTCCTTTTTCAGTTCTGATTTTTATTAATTTGGATACAGTCTCTGTGTCCTCTGGTTATTCTGGCTAAGAGTTTATCTATCTTGTTGATTTTCTCAAAGAACCAGCTCCTGTTTTTGTTGATTCTTTGTATAGTTCTTTTCGTTTCTACTTGGTTGATTTCAGACCTGAGTTTGAGCATTCCCTGATGTCTACTCCTGTTGTATGTATTTGCTCCTTTTTGTTCTAGAGCTTTCCGGTGTGTTGTCAAGTTGCTAGTGTATGCTCTCTTCAATTTCTTTTTGTAGGCACTTAGAATTATGAGTTTTCCTTCATTATCATTAAATTCTAAAAAGTCTTCAATTTCTTTCTTTATTTCTTCTTTGACCAAGTTATCACTGAGTTGAGCATTATTCAGTTTCCATGTGTATGTGGGCTTTCTGTTTTTGTTGTTATTGAAGACTAGCCTTAGTCTGTGGTGATCTGATAGGATGCATGAGATTATTTCAATCTTTTTGTATCTGTTGAGGCCTGTTTTGTGAACAATTCTATGGTCTGTTTTGGAGAAGGTACCATGAGGTGCTGAGGAAAAAGGTATATTCTTTTGTTTTAGGATGAAATGTTCTATAGATATCTGTTAAGTCCATTTGATTCATAACTTTAGTTAGTTTCACTGTGTCTCTGTTTAGTTTCTGTTTCCATTATCTCTTTATTGCTGAGAGTGGGGTGTTGTCTCCCACTATTATTGTGTGAGGTGCAATGTGTGCTTTGAGCTTTAGTAAGGTTTCTTTTATGAATGTGGCTGCCCTTGCGTTTGGAGCATAGATGTTCAGAATTGAGAGTTCATCTTGGTAGATTTTTCCTTTGACAAGTATGAAGTGTCCTTCCTTCTCTTTCTTGATAACTTTTGGTTGAAAGTCGATTTTATTCAATATTAGAATGGCTACACCACCTTGTTTCTTGGGACCATTTGCTTGGAAAATTTTTTCCAGCCTTTTACTCTGAGGAAGTGTCTGTCTTTATCACTGAGGTGTGTTTCCTATAGGTAGCAGCGGGCTGGCTCCTGTTTTCATATCCAGTCCATTAGTCTATGTTTTTGATTGGGGAATTGAATCCGTTGATGTTAAGAGATATTAAGGAAAAGTGATTGTTCCTTCTTGTTATTTTTGTTATTAGAGGTAGAACTATGTTTGTGTAGCTATCTTTCTTTGGGTTTGTCGGAAGAGGATTACTTTCTTGCCTTTTCTTGAGTGTAGTTTTCCTCCTTGTTTTGGAGTTTTCCATCTATTACCCTTTGTAGGGCTGAATTTGTGGCAAGATATTATGTAAATTTGGTTTTGTCATGGAGTATCTTGGTTTCTCCATCTATCTTGGTAATTGAGAGTTTTGTTGGGTATAGTAGCCTGGTCTGCCATTCATGGTCTTTTAGGGTCTGTATGACATCTGTCCAGGATCTTCTGGCTTTCATAGTCTCTGGTGAGAAGTCTGGTGAGAGTAATTCTGATAGGTCTGCCTTTATAAATGACTTGACGTTTTTCCCTTGCTGCTTTAAATATTCTTTTTTGTTTTGTGCATTTGATGTTTTGATTATTATGTGACAGGAGGAATTTCTTTTCTGGTTTAGTCTATTTGGAGTTCTGTAGGCTTCTTGTATGTTCATGGGCATCTCTTTCTTTAGGTTAGGGACGTTTTCTTCTATAGTTTTGTTGAAGATATTTACTGGTTCTTTAAGTTGGCAATCTTTGCTCTCTTCTATATCCTTAAGTTTGGTCTTCTCATTGTGTCTTGATTTTCTGGATGTTTTGGGTTAGAAACTTTTTGCATTTTGCATTTTTTTGACCATTATGTCAATGTTTTCTTCTTTTAATTGGATAATTTATTTATTTACATTTCAGATGCCATCCCCTTTCCCCATTTCCCTCCCTGGAACCCCCATCCCATCCCCTGTTCTCCTTTTTGCTTTAAACCATTTTAATTACATGGATGTATTAAGGTCAGATCTAGTTTGAGGGTCTAGCAATACAATAGAGGCAAATAATCAAGGAACAAGCAAGACAATAAACACAAATAGTCAAAGAACAAGCAAGGCATAAAACACAATTCCATAATCTCTCCCATGATCACTGTTTCTAAGGGTTTATTAGGATGACCAAAATATCTATGTCAATGTTTTCTATGGCATCTTCTGCACTTGAGACTCTTCTATCTCTTGTATTCTGTTGGTGATGCTTGCATCAGTGACTCCTGATTTCTTTTCTAGGTTTTCTATCTCCAGGGTAGTCTCCCTTTGTGATTTCTTTATTGTTTCTACTTCCATTTTTAAATCCTGGACGTTTTTCTTCAATTCCTTCACCCATTTGGTTGTGTTTTCTTGTAATTCTTTAAGGGATTTTTGTTTTTCCTCTTTAAGGGCTTCTACCTGTGTTCTCCTGTATTTCTTTAAGGGAGTTATTTATGTCCTTCTTAAAGTCCTCTATCATCATCATGAGAAGTGATTTTAAATATGAATCTTGCCTCTCTGGTGTGATGAGGTATCCAGGGCTTGCTGTGGTGGGAGAATTGGGTTCTTTATTTTATTTATTTATTTATTTATTTATTTATTTATTTATTTCTGAGACAGGGTTTCTCTGTGTAGTCCTGACTGTCCTGCAACTCACTCTGTAGACCAGGCTGGCCTCAAACTCAGAAATCCACCTGCCTCTGCCTCCCAAGTGTGAGAATTGGGTTCTGATGATGCCAAGTAACCTTGCTTTCTGTTGCTTACATTCTTGTGCTTGCCTTTTGCCATCTGGTTATCTCTAGTGCTACCTGCACTCACTGTCTCTAACTGGAGCCTGTCTCTCCTTTTATCTTGGTTGTGTCAGAGCGTCTCAGAGTCCAGCTGTCTCTGTGATCCTGTGATCCTGGGTGTCAGAGCTCCTGGGAGTCAGGCTGCCTCTGGGATCCTGTAATCCTATGATCCTGTACGTGTTAGATCTCCTGGGAGTTCAGCTTCCTCTGGGAATTGTGAGATTGGTTGCAGAGGTAGTGCCCTAGGTCTGCTCAGTGCACTGGCTCAGAATGGAAGGAATCCTTACCAATGGGTCAGGAACAGACCAACTGGGAGTCAATTGCTCTGGGTTCAGTGGATCCTCAACTGCTCTGAGTGAAGCAAATCCTCTGGAACGGGTCTGAATATGCTGTCTTCCCAGGAGCAGACCCACTATGAGTCCAACAAGAAGGGCCAGGCGGAGAGGGTGGAAAGGCTTTCTTCTTCTATTAATCATTAATTTACCAAGTTAGAAAGTTGTACAAATAATGCTATAAGTGAAATTCATAATTCCTGTGGGTATTTTCTTTCCTCCTTCTGGCTTCTAAAAACATTAGTCTTGGGCAATAGGTTGAGTTTTCAAGCAGCAGTAACTAAGAATAGGCAAAGGAAGCAGCAGTTCAAACCCCAGTCTTCACTGATCCTCAGATGGTATGAGGCTGTGGCATCCCATTTTCCCAGTAAAGACAAATGTCATCATACCTTATTAACCATTAAGAGAACAGGCCTGCTTCTCTTGCGCTGAGGCCCTACAGAGAGGAGAGCATATATAGATCTTGGGTTGACAGAAAGTATTTGATGCTGACTGCCTGGATATAACTATCCTCTAACTGCTTATTTATCTGTCTACCTATCTTTCCTTCTATATTAGTTATCTGTCTTTTATTTATTTAAGTTTATTGGTGGGGCTAAAGCTGGAACTCAGGGTATTATATATGCTTGGTAAACACTACTATTGAGCCCTATGACCAACCCTCCATTTTTTTTTTGTTTAAAAACCTTTTCTCACATTGTGTGTGTGTGTGTGTGTGTGTGTGTGTGTGTGTGTGTGTGTGTTACAACACCTGTGTGGAGGACAGATGAGAACTTGGGGCAGTCAGTTCTTTTTTTCCATCAAGTAATTTCTGGGGACTAAACTCAGATCATCAGCCTTGGCAACAATTTCTCTTACCTGCTGAGCCATCTTGATCATTTAAAAACATTAATTGGTTAATTGTTATTGTGTGTGTGTGCATGTGTGTGTGTGTGTGTGTATGCTATATGTGTGGCGCATGCATGTAGGGACTCAGAGGACACCTTTGTAGAGTGGATTCTCTCCTTCTTTTACATAGTTTCTGGGGATCAAAGTTAAACTAGCAGGCTCTTGTGGCAAGTATCTTCACTTGCTGATCCATGTCTCAGGTCCTTTTTTGTTTTTGAGGCAATGTACCATGTCCAGTATCTATCTCTCTTGTCTTTCTGTTCCTGTTTATCTCTCCTGTGTTTTGTTTGTTTGTTTGTTTGTTTGTTTTGTCATTTGTTTGAGGCATGGGCTTTTCTACATAGCCATAGCTATCCTGGAACTTGCTTTGTAGACAGGCTAGCCTTGAATTCAGATCCACCTGCCTCTCCCTCCACAGTTCTGGGATTAAAGGCATGTGTTTCCATACCCAGTGCTTTCTATCATTTTTATCATAGTGCTCTCCTACTTAAGTGCTGGAATTATAGTACTGTGTCATCAAGTCCAACCTGAGTTGCATATGTTTGAGAAAGTTGATGGAAATGATTTGTGTTCTGTGTTTGTCATACCTGTTGTTCTTGAGTATTTGCATCAACAACCTGGAAACTCCTTTAATAAGTCTTTTAGCATCATTGTAGGAAAGTTTCATCTATCTATCTATCTATCTATCTATCTATCTATCTATCTATCATCTATTTATCTATGTGTCTATGTAGCTACCTATGTATCTGTGTATGTATGTATGTATGTATGTATGTATGCATGTACATATGTGCGTACATACCTACCTACCTATTTACTTAATGCTAGGGATAGAACATGTGGTCTTGTACCTGTTAGGCAAGTGTTCTAATGCTGAGCTATATCTTTTTTTCTGGCCTTGTGGCTTGAACTTACAGTCTCATGAGCACTCCACTACTGAACCATATCTCTGTCTGGTCTTGCACTCTCTCTGTAGTCCATGCCTGCCTGAAGCTCAGTATCCTGGTGCTTCAGTTTCCCCAGGAGCTAGGATACAGTTATAGCTGAAAGTTCTGCATCTGCTCTTTTAAATTTTTCATTACTGATTTTGAGGGTTCATTGGAAGATAAGCAAAACCATTAATGACGGGGAAATATCACTTTAATTATATTTTCTTCTCATGAGAATTTTAGTTTTCTTACATATACTTGTTTCGATACATGGACATTCTGTAATTTCTTTAGGTGAGCTCATTGATAAATCCACAGCCCATCACCGCGTTTCAACAGAAAATAAAAGACAAAAAAGAGTCTATATATTTTAGCCATCAACGAGCACCATTGGGAAAATCTCATGATCAAACACCAGGATTGCCTAAAGGAATGGATGTGATCAACACAACATTAGGGACACCGACTATCAGAGGTAGTAAAAATAAGGGGCAGGAGGAGGTGGGAAAATATGTCTTATGAAATTGGATTAAGTATGTCACTGGCATATTTTCTGTTGATGGTATGAAGGATTATTAGTGATGAAAGATGAACAAAGTCTTCACACCTGGTCTGTGGTCTGCTTGAGCCATTCTCTCCTTCTAGCAAGTCCTGATTACAATGGACATCACATCCTCTCTGCCCCCTAACTACAGTTTCACTTTTGCATTCTTTGCTTTCAGTTTTCTGCTTTTCTTTGAGCCTATAATTTTTTTCTACTTAGTCTGTATCTTGACATGGTATCTGGAGAGTGACACATAGAGAGAGATGACTAAAGTCCTCCATGTAAAAGTAAAAAGATGGCATCATAGCAGGATCTCTCTCTCTCTTCCTTTCTTCTTGTATTACTCCCTCCCTCTCTCCCTTCCTGTCATTTTTTTCTTTTTTTTTTTTTTAGGTTACTTTCTGATACTTACTTTTTGTATCAATGGACATAATGATTCACATATCAAAAGAAATACTGTTTCTGTTTGCTTCATTGAATTCCTGAAAGCAAAACAGACCATGGTTACCTCCATTGGACATTGGAACCATCTGAGAGAAACCTTCTGGGGATTTTGCTATTTATTTATTTATTTATTTATTTGTTTATTTGTGTGTGTGTGTGTGTGTGTGTGTTGAGATAGGTTCTCTCACAGTATGTACCCTTGCCTGACTTGGAACTGGAATGCATTATGTAGACCACATTGACTTTGAAATTTTGTTTTGTTTTGTTGTTGTTGTTTTTCGAGACAGGGTTTCTCTGTATAGCCCTGGCTGTCCTGGAACTCACTCTGTAGACCAGGCTGGCCTTGAACTCAGAAATCCACCTGCCTCTGCCTCCCAAGTGCTGGGATTAAAGGTGTGCGCCACCACCGCCTGGCAACTTATTGTGTTTTTCAAGATGTTTTCTTCCAGCTTCGTACTTGTACTTGACCCTTTTGCCTCTACTTCCCAAGTACTGGGATTATAGATGTAAGCCACACTGTGGAGTTTGAATTATCATTTACAATATCTACCTGATGAAAGAAATATATTATAATATGTCTTTGTATATTAAACATAAATATCTAAAATCTTCAAGTAAAAAAAAAATTAAAAATTTCAAGTAGAGTTTTATAGGAAATTTTTCTCTACTATGGATTGAATCTTGGGATCAGATACAGAAGAGGGCATCGGATCACATTACAGATGCTTGTGAGCCACCATGTGGTTGCTGGAAATAGAATTCAGGACCTCTGGAAGAGCAGTCAGTGCTCTTAACCACTGAGCCATCTCTCCAGCCTTACCTTTTGTTTTAAAAACAGGTCTCATTGAGTAGCTCAGATAGATCAGGAGCTTCAGTTTTTCCAACTCTGTCCTGTGAATGCTGTGCTTGCTGATATGTGCTACCACACTGTCTTTTTTCATATTATTTGAACTCTCTCTCCCCCTCCCTCCCTCCTTCCTTCTTTCCCTTCTTTTCTCCCTTCCTCCTTCATCTTCCTCCCTCTTCCTCTCCCTCCCTGCATTCTCTGTATTCATTGCATTGCTGGAGATTGGGCCTGAGGTGTCATGTAAGTAGGCAAGTAGTCTATCACCAACTTCTGATATCATTAGCTGTTAGTTCATAGACTTCAGTTTCTGACAGAGAAGCCAAAAGAGGGCTGGTGAGATTAACATAGTAAGATGTATTGACAGATTGACAGGGAGCAGGAAACAGGGAGTGAGGTTATATTTAAAAGATTATTAAGTAACGGCCAGGTACAGTGGCATGTGTCTATAACTCTACAATTTGGGAGGCAGAGGCAGGAATATCAGGAGTTTAAGGCCACCCTGAGGTATAAGAGACCCTGTTTCAAATAAGAAAAATAATTAATAAAAAGTATTGAGTAAGCCAGGCATAGTGGCATCCATTAGCTGCCATTCTTGTTATAGTGACAGGCAGAATCAACTTCAGAAAGGGTTAATTTGGTCTCACACTTCGAGAGAGCAGAGTCCATTATGAGAAGGAAGGCATAGTGGAGTTCATGGCAGCCGAGACATGTAGCTGGTGCTCTCACATATTCGTAGACTAGGAAGTAAAGGATAAAAGTGAGACTGGGCTATAACAGCTCAGTATTCTACTTACCTAGCAACCTCTCCAAACCATGCTACCTAGCAGGGTAAGGATTCAAAACACATGAGCCTGTGAGAAAGACTTTTCATTTAAATTGAAATGGAGCAGTGTGCCTATAATCCTAGCACTGAGGCAGGATGATCTCAAGTGTGTGTGCATGAATATAAGGATCTTATCTGGAAAAAACAAGGGCAAGAGACACAGCTTAGTGATGGAGGGAATGCCCAGTATGCATAAAGCCCCACCTTCAACTCCCAGCCTTTGAAGAATAGTAAATGAAACAAGACAACTCACTGTAAGTAAACTGAGAATTGTGGGAAGAGGAATTTCTTCTTGACTCCATGAGTTCCCTGTTACCTCTGGCTAGGTTGAGAGTGGAGATTCAGATCAAAACAGACCCCACGTTCATGCTTTAAGTTACAGCTGCCAAAATTTGCACATGTCACATCCCACTGGACATCAGTGTTTTTAATTTGGAGTTCAGATTAGCTTGCATTATCCTAGGAAGTTGGGAACAAATATAAGCTAGAATTGTCTAGAGTCTCAGGATGGAGAATTTACTGGAGTTGGAGCATGGCTGCAGATAGCCCAGTGGCTCTTGTAGCATTTTGATATTCAGAATCCTCAGAGCTCTACAGCAAAGTGATGCATAGGCTTATTTTGTTTCTTCCTATCTCCCTTCTTTCTCTTCCCTTCCCTCTCCCCCCTTCTCCTTCCTCTCTCCTTCCTCCTCCTCTTCCTCCTTTTCTTCCTCCTCCTCTCTCCCTGCCCTTCTCTTTTAGAGTAAGGTCACATGTAGCCTAGTATGGCCTCAAATTCACTATGTAGTCCAGGTTATCCTTGAAGTCCTGGTCCTCCTCCCTCCACCGTGTCCAGCTCATCTTGTTTGTGCTGATAGATATTTATTTAATTGGCTATGTGATCTTCTAGGCATTCTGTGTAGCTTACGAAGCCATCAGACCAAACTTGTCATTGGCTGTAGTTTATATATACAATAAATAGCCAGGAGTCTTTAATATTGATCTTGTTGATTCTTTCTTCAGAACTGTCTGTTCGTGAAACTGTGAATCCATCAAAATCCTTCGAAGATGTGTTTAAAGAAGGACAGGAAGGACACGATTTGTACACTGTCTCTCACAATGATTATTTTGCAGGTAAGTCTTGCCCAGTATGAAGTGGGACTGAGGATATGAGACTCTCAAATATGTCAAGAAAAGCACAGAGCATACTGTTCATGAAGTTGGACACCTCATGGATGATGCAGTTGATCCATACATGGCAGTTTATTATTATCCATAGCATCATAAACCATGGTAGCTGGGAACATGTAGAAGAATGCATCACATTCTTAAAATATAGAACTAGGGAGGCACGATGGCAGGTGATTATAATCCCAATTCTCAAGGGGCTGAAAGATGACTGCAGGTTTGAGGTTAGCATGGTGTACATGTTGAAAAAGAAGAATGTAAGCAAGCTAACATCAAGGAAGCAAGTGCCCTGAATGATGATGGCACAGGCCTTTAATCCCAGCATTCCGGAGGCCAAGGCAAACAAATCTCTGTGAGTTCCATTCCACTCTGGGCTATATAGTGAGACCCTGCCTCAAAAATGAATGAATGAATGAATGAATGAAAATAAATAGTTGGGTATGGTGACTCATTCGTACAGTCTCAGCATTCAGGAAGCTGAGGTAGGAGCGCTGCCAGAAGTTTGAGGCTACTCTATCCTACATAGTGAATTGTAGTTCATTCTTGGCTAGAGTGAGACCTTGCCTCAATATCACAAGAACAACAATAAAAGAAATGCAGACATATATGTGTAATTAAGATGAAAAATCATAGTGAGATGGTTCATTGGGTAAGGAAGTTTACCATGCAAACCTTGCCACCAGAGTTTAATCCCTAGAACAAACATAAAACAAAACAAAGCAAAACAAACAAAAAACTGGTGATCAGAGTTTAATCCCCAGAACCCACATAACCCTCTTGAGAGAGCATAATATAGAAAGTTGTTTTCTGACCTCTGCATGTGCACTGTGGTACACTTCCTGCCTCATCACGTACAGGCACAACAAGAATAAATAAAGTGCAATGTCAGCTGAGAAAGAGGAAATGCTATGTGGACTTATTTTATTTAGTGGATTTTAGCTTTAGTGATCAGTATACGTATTAGAATGTCAGCCCCACCTATTACCACATTTAAGAAAGAATCTTCATTGCCTAGGATGCTCTTGAACTCTTAGACTTAAGTAATTCTTCCTTTTCAGCCCCCTACCTAGCTAGGACTGGAGGCATGCAACATCAATCTTGGCCAAGTGTGTAGGATTATGAATTGGACAGGTTAGGATCAAATTTTAGTTTGCTCATTTCCTGTCTTAGAACTTGAGTAGTTTGTGTATTTGATCATCAACCTATCTTAGTTCTTGAGTGGCATGGCAATCTTGTGTGAGTTGAGTACATGTAAAAACGCTTAGCTTGGTGCCTAGGACAACCACTATCAGCTACTAAGTGATCTTGTCTAATGACACTGCAGCAGTCACCAGGATGATTTTAAAGATCAACATAAATTTTATAGTTCTGTAAAATAACACCTGAATTAAAAATATGTGAATGCAGTCTTGATAGAATAACAATGTAATTAGACTCTGGTTTGGGTCTTGAGAAAGCCTTGTCTGGAATCTGCCACTCTCTTTCTTCTCAGCTAATCTCTGCTGGTTTCTACACCCCTCAGTGTGTTCCCAAAGATGGACAGTCTCTACCTCTATCTCCAGCTGCTGTTGTCCTTGGTCACTTGAACACAGTATCTTTCTCATGCCCTTGACTTCTTGTCTCTCCTTATGACTCCTTGTCTGTCTCCCTCTGCTTCCCTGACCTGCCTTCCCTTCTTTCCTTCATACTTTCTGCCCTCTCAGAATTTTTATGAAAATAACATTTTTTTCTAAAATTTATTATGAAGCTGAAGGCTACCTTGACCTTCCGATACTCCTGTCTCCAGCTCCCAAGTGATGCGATGATAGGAATGTAGCATTGTACCTGGTTTTGTCGGGATGTTTGATTTGGAAATGGCCATGATAATTTATGCAGGAGGATACTAGGAGTTCTAGACTATCCTTGACTACATAAGATCCTGTTTCAGAATAGCAACAACCTATAACAAAACAGAAACAACAAAAAAGAACCATGACTAAATATTGTGTGTGTGTGTGTGTGTGTGTGTGTGTGTGTGTGTGTAACTTGGGGAATGCTTAAAAACTATTTAGAATAGGGCTGAATGCATTGTTTAGTGGGTAAAGTGCTTGGTGTGCAAGTATGAGGGATTGTTTACATCTTCAGAACCCAAGTAAAGCTGAATAGAGTAGTATGTGTGTATACTTCCAGTTTCGAGAGTTCCTGAAAGAACTTAGGCCAGATAGCCTAGCTATCCATTGGCAGAAAATATCAAAGAAACCCTAGTTTACCAAAGTAGTAGAAGAAGACCGACATGCCACCTAAGGTTGCATGCATGCTGACACAGCATACTCACATGCAGGAACACATGAACATATACATGCACACACATCACACACATCACACACATGCATTATATGCACACACCACACACAAGAGTATTACAACTATACTTACAACTGCTCTAATGGACAATAATGAGGCCAAAATTGTCTTCTTTTGCTGATTTTTATGGAAGGTACATTAGCTTTTCGAAAGTTACATTATCTACATTTCCCCCCCCCCCTTTTTTTTTTTTTGATGCTGAGGCTTAAAACTCATTGTAGAGAATTTGGATATTAAAAATGAAGAAAAAGCAAATGTTACCATGTAACATCATTAGCCCAGGATAACTACAGTTGATAAGCCGAACATTTTTCTAGTGTTTATCCACTGAATTTCGCTGAAGCATCTAGGTTTAGATAAATAGAATCTGACCCTTCATGATTTCATGGAATCTGATATACGTTTAAGATTAGTTATTTAAGTGACTAGGACAATGACTGAGTGATTGAAATTGTGCACTGCTCTTGCAGGCGAGAGTTTGGTTGCCAGCACCCACAAAAGGCAGTTCACAACCACTTGTAAATCTAGTTCCAGGAGGATCCCACCTTTATCTGGCCTCATGTGCCTTTACTCTCACATAGATACGTAATTAAAAGTAATAAAGATAAGTTTCACGTGATGGCACACACCTTTAAACCTAGCACTTGGGTGGCAGAAGCAGGAGGAACTTTGAGTTCAAGGCCAGCATGAACTACATAGTGAGTTCCAGGACAGCCAGAACTACATAGTAAGACCATGACTCAATAATAAACGAGCAAGGAAGCAAGCAAGCAAGCAAGCAAGCAAGCAAGCAAGCAAATGAATCTCAAAATGTGTTGCTTTCAATAGTATGCTAGGGACAATGTGCAGCGGCAACAAGATCTATAAAGTCTTTAAAATGCACTTACTTATATCACTGCTGAAATGATAGATATTTCTTGAATAAATACAAATTATATAGAAATAGATAGTATTCAGAAAGATCTCTCACAGTTTAACTTTTCTTCCTTTTAAAAATAGTATAGAATAGAGTTTATTCAGGGCATGGGAAGTGGAGTTGAGAGAAAGGCAGAGAGAAAGAGAAGAGAGAGAGAGAGAGAGAGAGAGAGAGAGAGAGAGAGAGAGAGAGAGAGAGGCCATGAACATGTAGAGAGAAATGGGGGAGGGGAACAGGGAGAGAGAGGGTAAGGAGCAAGGAGGAAAGAGCAAGAGTTTTCCTCTTTTTTTTTTTTTCCTGTTTTGAGACAGGGGTTCCCATGTGATTCTGGCCAGCCCCAAATTTACTGTATAGTTGGCATTGAATCCTCTTGCCTCAGCCTCCCAAACCCCAAATTACAGGTGTATGCCAATATGGCTTGTTTATGTATGTACTTTAGTGTACAATAGATATGTATATATACTTCTATGTACTCCCACTTGGTTTGTTTTGTCTCATGGAATATTTTGTAATATTTTCCATATTAGTATCTATATCAAGTTTTCCATTAATTTTTGTTGAAATTAATTTCTTTTCTTTTTTTGTTTGTTTTTTTGAGACAGGGTTTCTTTGTGTAGCCCTGGCTGCTCTGGAACTTACTCTGTAGACCAGGCTGGCCTCAAACTCAGAAATCCACCTGCCTCTGTCTCCCAAGTGCTGGGATTAAAGGCGTGCACCACCACTGCACATCGAAATTAATTTTTTTCATACAATGTATTCCGATCACAGCTTCCCCTCCCTCAGATCATTCATACACACACACACATACACATACACCCCATAAAAACAGAAAATTGTAAACCATAATGTACAAGCAAAAGACACTAAGTTAAAAAATACTCAAGCTAATGGGAGATAAAAGGTGTACAAAAATACAATGAGTTTGTTTTGTTTTGATCATCTTCTACTGGGCCTACTTTTAAGTATGGTCTATGTACCCAGTAAGACTCCACTGGAGAAAGCTACTTTTTTCCCTTTCCAAGTGGTTGTCAATTGGAGATAATTTCTTGGTTAGGGATGAGAACTCATGTTCACTTCCACCTCGTATCCCCGAGACTGACCTGGCCTGCACATATACAGGCTTTGTTCATGCTGCCCAGTCTCTGTGAGTTCACATGTGCATCAGTCCTGTTGTGTCTAGAAGACTTTGTTTCCTTGGTGTCATCCATCCCCTTGGACTCTTATGATGTTTCAGCCTCCTCTTCTGCATAGATCCTCGAGCCCCAAGGAGAAGGGTTTGATGAAGACATCCCATTTAGGTCTGTATTCCAAAGTATCTTACTCTTTGTACATTGTCCATTTGTGGGTCTCTATATTAGTTTCCATCTACTGAAGAGGAAGCCTGATAATGGCTCAGTGAGACACTGGTCTATGAATATGGCACAGTGTCATTGGGAGCTATTTTATTGCTTTATTTCTTTGGCAGAACCATAATTTTTGGTTTTCCCCTTCGCCCATGGCCTACCTAGTCTCATGTTTGTGGCCACTTGTGCAGTGTCAGGCATGGGTTCTATCTCATAGAGTGGGCCTTTCATCCACTCAGATGCTGGTGAGTAACTATCGCAAGTATTATGCCACTATTGCACTAGGGTATTATGTGTGCGAGGTGGCACTGTAAATCTCAGGGTTTGTAGCTCAGTTGCTGTTTACCTTTGTCTTTTGGTAGCATGCAGAGTACCTTCTAGTACCATGAACACTAGCTAGCAGGGGTTAAGGCTCTTGGTAACCACCAGCTCCACTTCTCCGTGTTCAGTGAGTTGTGTATATGTTTGTCTTCAGCAACTGGGCTTTACTGCCAGTTTGTGGAGACCAATCAATAACTTTAGCAATAGCCTGGGTTGTTTGAGGGTTTCCTTGGGGTCTCTTTTGACAACAAATCAATTAGATGTAACCCATCACTGGAATTGAGAATTTCATTTGGTGACAAGAGATGTCCAGCTGGGGCTCTGTTTTCCCTGTTAGTTGGTGATACCATACATATATATATAAAGCTTCTACTGTGTTAGATTTTTATATGATCTCTCAACTAGTCCTTAATGTCAGTTGATCATCCCTTACTTTTTTCTCAGTGCCTCCATTTACTTCTCCCATTCAGATCCCCTCTTATCTACCCAGTAGTATATATTCTATTTCCCTGTCCTTGGAAGACTCTTTTCTCCCTCAATTCCTTAGTCTATGCTGAACCTCAGTGATTATATGGACAGCAACTTGACTATTGAAGTCTTAACATCTCAATCTATAAAAAGTGACTACATACCATATTTGTCTTTTTGGGTCTATGTTACCTCACCTAGGATGATTTTTTTTATAACTCCACCCATATATTCAAGAATTTCATGATTTCATATTTTAACTGCTGAGTAATATTCCATTGTGTCCATGCATCACATTTTCTTTATCCACTTATCCATCGGTGGACATCTAGGCTGTTTCCAGTTTCTGGGTATTATAAATAGAGCATCAGTGAACATGGACAGGCACATATCTTTGTAGTAGGGTATAGAGTCCTTTGGTATATGCCCAAGAGTTGCATATCTAGATCTGGGGCAAATCTATTTCCTGCTTCCTAAAGAATTACAATATTGATTTCCACAATGGCTGTACAAGTTTGCATTCCCATCAACAATGGATGAGTGTTTTCCTTTCCCTACATCTGTACCCCTTTCCCCAGAAATAACAACCCTGCATAAATTATTAATCAAGGCCATTTGACTGGTGTAAGATGGAATTTCAAAATTGTTTTGATTTGTATTTCCCTGATGGCTAGGATACAGACCATTTCTTTGTTTCTTGACCATTTGTGTTTCATTTTTGATGATGTGCTTACTTCTGTAGTTCAATTTTTAATTGGGTTGTTTCCTTGATGTCCAGTTTTTTTTAGTACTTTATATATTTTAGCCATTATCTGATGTTGTACTTGGTAAAGATCTTTTCCTATTTAGTAGCCTGTTCCTTTGTCTGAATGATATTGTTCTTTGCTATAGAGAAGATTCCCAATTTCATGAGGTCTTATTTATTAATTGTTGCTTTTAGTGCCTGTGCTATTGGTTTTCTGTTCAGAAAGTCTTTTCCTGTACCAATGAGTTCAAGACTATTTCTCACTTTCTTTTCTATCCAATAAGGATATATGGCCTTATATTCAGGTCCTTGATCGATTTGGAGTCGAGTATTGCATGATATATATACATATATATGAAACTTTTTGCATTTTTCTACATGCAGCCATCCAGTTTGTCCAGCATTACTTGTTGAAGATGATGTCTTTTTTTCTTGTGTGTATTCTGGCTTCTTTATCAAATATCAGGTGCCCAAATGTATATGGAACCATATCTGGGTTTCCAATTCAATTCCATTGACCATCATGCCTGTTTTTATACCAGGACCATACAAATTTTCATTACTATAGTGCTGTAGTACAACTTGAGATTGGGAGGTACCCTGTGCAGTTCTTTTATTATTTTGATGGGCATTGCATTGAATCTGTACATTGCTTTTGGTAAGATGGCTGTTTCACTATACTAAATCTACTGATCCATGAACATGGATGACATGCATCTTTTGATGTCTTACTCAATTTATTTTCTTAATGTCTTAAAGTTTTTATCACATCTTTACTTTCTTGGGTAGATCAAGGTGTGTGTGTGTGTGTGTGTGTGTGTGTGTGTGTGAGAGAGAGAGAGAGAGAGAGAGAGAGAGAGAGAGATGTGTGTACACGCATGTGTGTGTGTGCGTGTGTGTGTAAGGTGTTGTTTTCCCTACTTCTGTCTCAGTCTGTGTTTGGTATATAGGAAGAGCACTGATTTTTTTTTGTGTTAATTTTGTATCTTACTGCTTTTCCAAAAGTGTTTATCATTTGTAGAAGTTTCCTAGTAGAGATTTTAGGATCTTTTATTTATAATATCATATTATCTGCAAATAATGTTACGTCCCTATTTCTTCTAAGTTTTCTAGCCTTTTGAAGTATAAGTTTCTGAAGCATACTAAGAAACTTTTTTTTCCAAATTGTACTATATTTAAATGTGCCTATAATAAACTGCCTGGTATCAGTCTGTCAAAGTTTGAACCAGCACTGACTACTGAGGCATTGTGAGCCAGATTTCCTTGCTTCATGTGAACAGTCATTCTGGTGACTCTGGTAGTCACAGACTGTTCCCTCCCCAGTTATTTCATATTGATTTTTGTATCCTTCAAATTTCCTGAGTTCTTTTATTAATCTTATCAGTTTTGGGTGATGTCTATGGTTTTTTTTTTTTAAGAGTTTTTTTTTCTGGGCTGGAGAGATGGCTCAGTGGTTAATAGCACTGACTGCTCTGCCAGAGGTCCTGAGTTTAATTCCCCGCAACCACATGGTGGCTCACAACCATCTGTAATGTGATTCAATGTACTCTTCTAGTATGTGTCTGAAGACAGCTGCAGTGTACTCATATAAATAAAAAAAAACAAATCTTAAAAAAAAAAGAAAGTCTAAAAGAGTTTTTTTTTTTTTTTTTTTCCTGAGACTTGATCTCACTATGTGGCTCAGGCAGGCCTGGAACTCACCACCTTCCTCTCAGCTTCCTATGTACTGAGATTACAGACATAAGCCACTACATCTTACAAACATGAACACAAGGAGCTCTGTATGTAATGTTCTGTGGTGTCCCAGCATGTACAGGGGAGGGCCTTTGCCATTTGTATGCACAGATGCCTGCATGGGTATGTTCCAGTCTTTGCCCTACGAATTCTGTGCCAATGGGAAAACAGTATGCTTTCCCTAAAATAATTTTTCTTTTTATGTGTATGGCTTAATTCATAAGTCTTACTCCCTGCTCCTACCACCCACAGGAGAAGCAAAGAACCGAAAGTATAACCCAGCAAGTTTCCATAGGTTTAACTTGTACGGAGTCCCGACGCCTCACTGTAATGATGGGCGCACCATGGCTAAAGCTTTACATTGGCTCCATGAACTACAAATGTAAGTGTGAGTATGCCTGGCCAAGAAGTAAGTCTTACAGGTTTAGCGTTTGAGCTCAAGTAACTACCTACTTAAAATTTACTTTTAAGAGATATTAAATATGTTGACGTGGTTTAATATAACATTTATAGAAAAAATAGATCATGCGATGTCTTTACTTCCAACACACATTCTGTCTGGTTAGCCTAGATGGCTGTGCTGTTCTGAAGTTATTTCATGACTTGGATTTGTTTGTTTGTTTGTTTTGGTGATAGGTCTTACTCTGAAGCCTATAGTATCCTAGAATTTGTGTTAATCTTCTTGCCTCAGCCTCCCAATGTTGGAATTACTAGACTTCATTTAATTTTTATTGCTGCTTTAGGCTTTATTATCATTTTTAAGTGTGTGTGTGTGCATGTGTGCGCGCGCATGTGCGCATATGTGAGTGTAGGTGCACCTTACAGGGTAAAACATTGTTTTCTCCTGGAGCTAGAGTTATGGGTGAGGAACATGTGGGTGTAAGGAACTCAAGTTAGGTTCCCTGCCATGGCCGTCTTTCCAGCTTCTGTGGTTTTATAGACATGGTCTTAGCATGTTAACCTAGCTAGCCCAGAGTACACTATATATCCCAGGCTGGCCACAAACTTGAGGACAACCTCCTGGCTACCACTGACATGCTGGGATTATAAGTATGAGTCACCATGTCTGGATTATCATTAAGCTCTGAAAATTACCTGAGGATCTTGAGCCTTTGACCTTAATTTTTCCAAATATTGACTGTTTTATTTTATTGTTTTTTTCGAGACAGGGTTTCTCTGTATAGCTCGGGCTGTCCTGGAACTCACTCTGTAGACTAGGCTAGCCTCGAACTCAGAAATCCGCCTGCCTCTGCCTCCCAAGTGCTGGGATTAAAGGTGTGCTGGGATTAAAGGTGTGTGTGTGTGTGTGTGTGTGTGTGTGTGTGTGTGTGTGTGTGAGAGAGAGAGAGAGAGAGAGAGAGAGAGAGAGAGAATGTATGTGAGTGTGTATGGTGTGTATGGTGTGTATGGTGTGTGTGTGTGTGTATGAGATGTGTTTATATATTACCCAAGTGGCCTCAGACTTGCTGTGTAGCTTAGGCTGGTCTCTTAACTCATGCTTCTCTTAGCAGTTTGAGTTCTGGGGAAAATTGGTGTCTTTATGTCTTCACTCTATACATAACTTCTTCCTTGGAGTTTAAAATGGGGTCCTTAGTTTTTCACCTACTATGATTCTTTTTTTCATTCTAAGCCAACACCTGAATAATGATTATTCTACAAAAAGTAAAGTTTCCTGAGTCTGGAGACATACCATAGTGGTAAAGTATTTGCCTAGCTATGTCAAAGGCCATTATTTTGATTGGGAGCAACACATGCACATGTATATGGGCCCAACATTCACTAATAAGTATCCTTAGAAGTTCAGAGGTACTCTGAATGTGATGGCTAATATCTGTAAACTTAGGCAGCCTTAGGCAGAAGGATGATAGTGAGTTGGTATGCCAGTCTGGGTTATAGTGGGAGCCTCTCCCTCCTAAAGGGAGTATTTATTTATTTATTTATTTATTTATTTATTTATTTTTGTTTTTTTCAAGACAGGGTTTCTCTGTGTAGTCCTGGAACTCACTCTGTAGACCAGGCTGGCCTCAAACTCAGAAATCTGCCTGCCTCTGCCTCCCAAGTGTTGGGATTAAAGGCGTGTGCCACCACCACCACCACCACCACCACCACCACCACCGCCCGGCGTAAAGGGAGTTTCTTATCCTCTTTGATCTCTTGTTAATTTGACACGCAAACACATCACTGTAAAGCCACAACCTTTCCCTTCTTTTTCATCTCCAAGATCACATATCAATATAAACAGCACAATATAAAACATTTTACAAACTTAAAAAGTCTTAAAAATTCAAACACTTTAAAAATTCAGTCTCGCCGGCAGTGGTGGCGCACGCCTTTAATCCCAGCACTTGGGAGGCAGAGGCAGGTGGATTTTTGAGTTCGAGGCCAGCCTGGTCTACAGAGTGAGTTCCAGGACAGCCAGGACTACACAGAGAAACCCTGTCTCGAAAAACCAAAAAAAAAAAAAAATTCAGTATCTTTCAATGGGAGGAGAGGCCCTTGGTCCTATGAAGGCTCGATTCCTCAGTGTAGGGGAATACCAGGGTGGTATGGTGGGAGTGGGTGGGTGGGTGGGTACCTTCATAGAAGCAGGGGAGAAGGGGTGGGATAGAAGGTTTCTGGAGGGGCTGGAGAGATGGCTCAGCGGTTAAGAGCACTGACTGCTCTTCCAGAAGTCCTGAGTTCAATTCCCAGCAACCACATGGTGGCTTACAACCATCTGTAGTGGGATCCAATGCCCTCTTCTGGTGTGTCTGAAGACAGCTACAGTGTACTCATAAATAAAATAAATAAATAATTTTTTTTTTTTAAAAAAGAAGGTTTCTGGAGGGGAAACCAGGAAAGTACATAACATTTGAAATGTAAATAAAAATATCTAATAAAAAATCAGTCTCTTAAAAAACATTGAGGGCTGGAGAGATGGCTCAGTGGTTAAGAGCACTGACTACACTTCCAGAGGTCCTGAGTTCAAATCCCAGCAACCACATGGTGGCTCACAACCATCTGTAACGAGATCTGATGCCCTCTTCTGGTGTGTCTGAAGACAGCTACAGTGTATTCATATATAATAAATAAATAAATCTTTAAAAAAACATCCAAAGTCTAATTCTAAAATTAAAAGTCTCTCAACTTTGGGCTCATATAAAAACAAACAAATAAACAAACAACTAAATAAATACTTTCTTATTTCAAGAAGGAAGAAGCAGGGCACAATCACAATCAGATCAACGTAAAACCAAACTCCAACCATATAAACCACTCAGTGTTCAGTATCTGGGATTCATACATGATCTTCTGAGCTCCTTCAAGGGGCTCCTGCTCCAGGTCCACCCTCTGCATCACATACTGTTTGTCTTCTAAGCTCTGGCTGACTCCTCTCCACAGCTGCTGCTGTTCTTGGCAGTTGACCTTTGGCACTGGCACCTCAGAATACTGAGGTTTTCTGCTGCAACTGGGCTTCAGTTGCTCTCCATGTCCCCTTCGTTCTTTCAAAATCAGTACCTGCCTGGGGGCAGCCCATGTAAAAGGACATGGAAGAAGGAAAATACTTTTTTGCCTGCTTGTCCTCACTCTTGCTAGCAAGATTATCTACTTGATTGCTGCTGCATTCCTTTTTTTTTTTTTTTGTTTTTTCGAGACAGGGTTTCTCTGTATATTCCTGGCTGTCCTGGAACTCACTCTGTAGACCAGGCTGGCCTTGAACTCAGAAATTCACCTGCCTCTGCCTCCCAAGTGCTGGGATTAAAGGCGTGCGCCACCACTGCCTGACCGCTGCTGCATTCCTTAACTGCTATTAAAACTATGTTTACGGAATCCCAACATAGACTGAAGATCAGCATCTCTCCAGGAATCCTCCAGGACTCCAGCACAAGATAGGGATTGCTGAACAGCTGTCTGATTCTCACTTTTCCAAGCACAATACAGGCATTGTTTGCCCACCCAGACTACACCCTATAAACCAATCTAATAACATCCCTATAAATACTACCTGGGAAACTGCTGCTTCTGGAGCCCAGCTTCTATGTGCTGACTCTAAAGAAGCATTTCCCAGATTTCACCACAGTGATTCTGATTTCCAAGCTACTACCCAGCATCAATGGTCCCAGCAAAGAAAAGGTTTTACTTCAGTGGTTCTGGTATCTTGTTAACCATATTCTTCAGCCCCAGTTAACACAGATTCTTAACTTAAAATGGCAAATGATCCTGACAGAGCCATCTAAGAACTCTTAAATCTCCCTCTGAAATTTCACATCCCACACCTTCATCATCTGCGTTGCTGTTAGCATTTTTTTATATTCCAAACTCCCAGCTGAACAAATCATGAAGGTTTGAACACTCAACGATCTTTCTAGCCCAAAGTACCAACTGCTCCCCAACCCCACATAGTCAGATCTTTCACAGCAATACTCCACTTCTGGTACCAATTTTGTCCTAGCTAGGGCTGTTGTTGTTGTTGTTATGAAATACCATGACCAAAAGCTACTTAGGTAGGAAAGATTTATTTGGCTTACATACCCAGAGTCATAGTCCATTGAGGAGAGCCAAGGAACTCAAACTGGACAGAAACCTGGAGGCAGGAGCTGGTGGAGAGTCTGCGGAGAAGTGCTGCTTACTGTTTTGCTTCCTCTGGCTTGCTCAGCTTGCTTTCTTATAGAACTACCAGCCCGGGGATAGTACCACCTACAATGGGCTCGGCCTGCGCCAATAAATCACTAATTAAGAAAATGCCCTACAGGCTTGTCTGCAACCTGATACTATGGAAACATTTTCTTAATTGAGCTCCCTGCCCCCACCTCCCCACAATGACTGTAACTTGTGTCAAGTTGACATAAAATTATCCACCATACTCCTTTGTGTTAGGGTTCTGTATAGGAATTTATATGGGTGTTATTAGATTGGCTTACAGGATGTAGTCCAGGTAGGCAAACAATGCCTGTATTGTGCTTGGAAAACTGAGAATCAGACAGCTGTTCAGCAATCCCAATCTGGTGCTGGAGTCCTGGAGGATTCCTGGAGAGATGCTGATCTTCAGTCTATGTTGGGATTCCATAAACATTAGTTTTAATAGCAGTTAAAGGAATGCAGCAGCAACCGAGTAGATAATCTTGCTAGCAAGAGTGAAGGCAAGCAGGCAAAAAGCATTTTCCTTCTTCCATGTCCTTTTACATGGGCTGTCACCAGGAGGTTGGCCTAGATTTAGGGTAGTCTTTCTGCTTCAAATAATCTGATTAAAAATAAAAAAAAAGGATTGTCAGCAGTTTATATTGTAGTAGATTTTAGATTCAGCTAAATTGACAAACAAGATTAGCCATCATACTCTCCCATCCAAAATATAAAGAATAAAAATAAAAGAAGGAAAGGGGAAGAGGAAGAGGAAGGAGAAGGAAAAGGAGAAGGAAGATGAGGAAGAGAAGAAAAGAGATGAGAGGAGGAAGAAGAGGAGGAAGAGGAGGAGTAGGAGGAAGAAGAAGAGAAAGAAAAAGTTGTTCAGAAGAAGATTGTCACTTGTAGTTTTAATAATGAAACTATGCTAAATTTAGCTAGGCACTGGCATTGATGGTCTCACCTATCCCAATGGCCAGCCCAAGCAGTCATCTTACCTAGGTTCCCAAGGCCAGCCTGCTGCCTAGCTGCTCTGGTCAAAAGCCTGCTCCCAAGCTAGCTCTCTCTCTCTGCTTGCTAAGCCGACTGAACCAGTCTTTCCTGAAATGTCTCAAGCTGCTGCTTATACTTCCCAGACCATCCACCCACTTGGCTGGACTGTAGAAAGCCAGCTACTGCTCACTAAGATCTCCTTAGCCCCATGAAATGAAAACATTAGACTTATAAAATACCAGCCAGATTTATAATGGTAAATCTCCAACCTCAAGATGCCTGCACAAAGAACACAAGTCTCAATTGATATAAATACAACTTGGATATAAATGCACACCTAGATTGAGCAAATGTACCCTGTACTACTCTATTGCCCATCTATGAAATCCCTTGCTACTTGGGGCTTCTCTAGGCCACGTGGTTCTGTTTCATCTTCATCTCCTCCCTCCATCTCTTCTCTCCCTCTATCCTCCATCTTATCTGACCTTCTTCCTCTTTCCCCTCTCTAAAACTTTCAGTTCCTCCTTTTCCTTCCACTGCCGAATCACAAGCTCTAGCCTTATCTGACCAACTTAAGATTTCACCTGACCTCACTTGAGTATGTGATCTACTCTTCAAATACTCGGGGCACTCCTCTTGAGGGAACAGAAAAAACAAACAGCAATCCACAACAGAAGACTGGATGCTGAAGAAGAACGGCATGCAGAAGAGATGATGTTCTGAAGATGGATGTAGGCAGAGACAGGAGGAAGGCGGTTATAACCAAGGACACCCGGCAATAACCAGCAGCCAACAGGCACAGGAAAAAGCAAGAAATGGTTTCTTGCCGGGCGGTGGTGGTGCACGCCTTTAATCCCAGCACTTGGGAGGCAGAGGCAGGTGGATTTCTGAGTTTGAGAGTTCCAGGACAGCCAGGGTTACACAGAGAAACCCTGTCTCGAAAAACCAAACCAAACCAAACCAAACCAAACCAAACCAAACCAAAAAAAAAAAAAATTTCTCCTTTGGAGGAAATGTGAGTGTGCCGTCCCCTGCTCCGGCGTGTAATTCCACAGCTGCCTACAGAGCTA